TTCCTGCTTCCTCTCAGCTTCCCTGACATCTCGCAGCCTATTAACAGCACCCCGCAGCTCAGTCCCTGCTGCAGGAGCACCTCCACCAGGGAGCACCGAATGCAGCCCTGCCCATTGTGCACCCTCCCCTCACCAGACCAGTGCAGGCCCTCTCTGCACCCATAGCTCTGCACTGCAGCCTCCCCTCTCACCGGCTCTGTCTGGGTGCCTGCGCTGCCACCGCCGGGGCAGCCAGAGCAGAGCTCCCGGACCGGGCCCTGCTCACACGCCGAGTGCTCACCATCCCGCTCGCCTGCCCGCGCGAACTACCACGCCGTGCTCCTGGCTGCTCGCGCTCCCTGGGTCAGGTTTTTACCCACTCATGGCTGGCGCCGCTGCTCCAGGCTCCCCCCGCCATGAGTCAGCTGCTCGCTCTCGTCAGCTGAGCTGCCGGCTCCTGGGCAGGTCCTGTCGAGGACTTGAGGCTCCCTCGGTGGCTCTTGTGGCTCTGAGTTGAGGCTCCTGGACGCTGATCTCCCCCCTGCTCCGGTGTTGAAGGCGTCCTCTCTCGAGCTACTCACCTCAGCAATTGACCGGACTGACTGGTCTGTAATTCCCCGGGTCATCCATTTTCCCCTTCTTGAAAATGGGGGTTATATTTCCCTTTTTCCAGTCGTCGGGAACATCAGCTGACTGCCATGATTTCTCAAATACGATGGACAGAGGCTTATTCAGGACCCGTGGATGGATTTCATCAGGTCCAATGGGCTTGTGTACATTCAGGTTCTTAAGATGGTCTCGAACCAGATCCTCTCCTAAAGTCAGCCTATGGTCTTCATTCTCACAATCCCTGCGTCTGCCTTCCACAACTTCTGTGTGTCTTGTGTCTGATCTCAGCCAGGATCTCTGTGTTCATCCATGCTGGCCTTTTGCCAGCTTGCTTGACTTTCTGCACATTGAGATGGACCATCCCTGTGCTCTGATGAGGCTGCTCTTGAAGATCAACCAGGTCTCCCAGGCCCCTTTCTTTCGAGGAATGGCTCCTATAGGATCTTCCAAGCATTTCCCTGAACAAGCCAAAACTTACTCTTCTGAAGTCCCGGATCCAAGTTACTCCTCTCAGGATCTTAAACTCCACTCTTGCAACTTTTGTTGCAAGTCTCTTCCCCTTTAGGCTAATCACCAACTCTTGCTCACTTGTTAGTTGCAGGTCCAACAGATCACCTTCTCTCACCAGTTCATCAGTCATGTGCATCAAGAAATTATCTTCAACGTGTTCCAGAAATCTCCTGGATCATTTGCATCCAGCCTTATTGCCCTTCCAGCGTGGTGGCTAAAGTCACTGATGAGTACTAGAGTCTGTGACTGACACTTTGTCCAGCTACCTAAAGAGTGCTTCACCTGCCCCCTCTTCTTTATCAGATGAGATGGAGCAGATACTCATCGCAGCATCATCTGCACTGGTCTGTTCTCTAATCCTTACCCACAAGTAAGAATTACCCACAAGAAATGTATAGGACTCCGTTATACAGAACTCAATCTCTCTGCCGTCCTTGTCCACCCCCGTCTTTCTTGCAGCATTCTAGTCATGAGAGCTATCCCACTACATCACCATGATCCTAATGAGGTCTTAACTCTGTAGCTGTGCATAGACTTTCCTCTGGCTTGTTCCCCATGCTACATGGATTTGGGTACAGGTATTTGTGATGGGTCTTAAATTACGCTGCTTTATAGGGGAAGTGTGAAAGCCTCCCCTATCATGCTGTCTCACAGGTGCATCTATCTGCTCTGCCTCTTGTGCCTTCAACTCTCTCTCCAGCCTGGGCAGCATCTCCACAACTTCCCGATTCTTTGTCAGATTGCTGCCTTTATCTCAGTAGAAGGAAGCCTCCTGTAACTGTCATACCACTTTTACTCTTCATGTAGACACCAAGTTCAGGTTCAGCAGGTTCTGATCCCATATGTCTGTTTTGAGCAGACAGTCCCTAAATCAACTTCCCTCTGGCATCAGTGCTCCTGCATTTATTTTGAGTTGCTGCTTGACAAAAGGATTTGGGAGCTGACCTTACCTGACAAGCATACAAAAGAGTTTGTAGTTAGAGCATCAATACTCGCAAAACCCAGCATCTATGCTTGGGGGGCTGAAGTCAGACTACCCCAGTTTCCACTGCATGTGCTGCTGGAATCATTAGGAGGCTTAGGCAACTGTGCAGGGCAAAGACAAACAAAAACTCCTGAAAGGTCTTCATCTACCTATCTTCAATAGCAAGAGCAAAGACAGATGTGTAAGTAGCATTATATCTCACATCACAAAAAATGAAGCTAGTATCAGTAGTAGTTTTAAGTCTACCTAGCCCCTCTTGCTGCTTAACTATACCAATCAGATGAAAATAAGGTGACTTCAAAAGTTATCCTGGAAAGGAAGCAGACAATCAGACACTTGCTGAGTTCTAGATACTGTTCATAAGCAGCAGGAGAAAAGAAAGAAAGGAGGAAAGTGGTGTATGAGCAACGTCTACTTTTAATAAACTTACTAATGAGTATGTGGCAGTACAAGGGTATGTAAGCTGCCACAACAGATGCAGCTTTAAAACAAAGAAAGAAACAAGTCTTTTGTTATTTTGCAATAAAAATTTTTAGAAGGATGCAATTTGAAACAACCCTGAGGAAAAGAAAACCCCAAAACCAAACTCAACGTTGAATAGCTCTACATTTACACCCTATAGGACGCCCTACTTTCTGTACTGCTGCAGAGTTCTAACAAGTCTTTGTTTCAAAAATTATTTAAGCTTATGTAGAAGGTTCATTAAGTACACAAAAACTTTTCTTTAGAAAGCCATCGATTAAGCCTTTCACCTTCATTTTCATTGTTCTGAAGCACAAGATTAACAGGAGCACAGAGGAAGTGCTCCTTCCTTACCAAGACTCAAGATGCTTGTCAAAAGGAATATGAAAGAGGTATTAACCCATGGAGAATAGCAGAAGCATCTATAGCAGAGGAGTATCAGCCCTCTGAAGACTGCACACAACAAAGATGCCACGTAAATGTAAAAACAAATTGGTTTATAATTCAAGCTGGAAAAAGTGCCCAACTTTCTCTTTAGATGTACAGCAAAGTAAGCCTTTATAATTGTCATTGGCATATTAGAAGTAACATCAACAGCCTGTCTTGTACGTCATTGATCAGTATTTCCACAGAATACTCCAAAAACTGCATTATGATCACTGGCAAAGATGAATTGTTTCACAAATGTAGTAAGTTTCAAATAAAATGCTGTAAATCTATACGTTTGCAGTCTATACCTATCACCAACTATTCAGGGGTGCGAACTAATGCCTGAATTTTCCATTTTGAGACTGCTTGTGTTAGGCATAGGGCAAACTGTTCATTCTACCCTGCCTTTACACAGCGGACACCGCAGATGCAAGGTACCCCTGGAAATTGAGTCGGTAGGAAAGCATGATCAAGAAACGCCACCTGCTGTCTCCTGGATCACTGTTCTAAAAAAGCTGCTGGAGTGCGAGCACATGCTTTAAACTCATGTTTCCTTTTATTGCAGGAAAAATATTTGAACATGATAAACAGCAATCCTTCAGATCCTCATTTAAGATACCACATAAATTTCAAGCAGCATTTCCTACAGAAGTCTTTTGCAGTGAAACCTAGAAAAAAAAGGGCAGCAATTCCCTTTGAAATATGCCTTGTTTATTTCCATATTGCTCCCCTCCCTTCCCTCCAAATAATTAATTGAATTCCACAATGTTGGCTTCTCTTGAATGTCAAGGTTCATCCTTGATTAAAACTCTATATAAGCAAAGTATAACTATACCACTGGCTGCAATAATATAGTGCATATCTTTCCTTGTGGCTATCCCCAAGAAATGCTCTCTAGTGACTCAACCCAGGACATTTCAGCCACTCCAACCCAGCAAAAGTTTGGTTTCCTGATCTTGGGCACTAGGAAACTAGATGCCAACCAAACTTCAGTGTGCTTAACTAAGCATATGGTTGAAGAATCTTCTGCACAAGAGCCAGTGTGCTCGGGACCTGGATGCACCAAAAAGTAAATCTGTAAACACATATGAAATCCAAGCTTCCCTGATGAACAAGCTGTTGTGCAACTTGAATGAAACAAATTAGACTTTGTTTGAATTAATGTGTATAAATATTAGAAGTCACTCTTTTCACCTCCCTTTTTTCCTAACGGAGGATGTTACCAGTCTTCTACAACACTTCCAGAGCAACCTTCAATATTTTCATGTTTAATTGTCTGAATTTTGTGTGTGTTTTTCTTTGAACCTACCCTTCTTGGGTTCCTGCTTTCTTTTCCTACTATTTTTAGTTATTTAAGGGCATTGCCTTTCTCTCTCAAGACAAAGAAACGGTGCTTCCTAAAAACAGATTATAGCTTGAGTAAATCAGCCTCAAGAAAGCAAATAGTCAAGAGAACAAATAATGGAACACAATAAAGGAAAACCTTATATATTTGCTTTGTAACATGCTAAATGAATAAAACTATTCTTCTATTATTGCCAATAAAAATGCAGTTTTACATCAAACAGTTGTCCTGATAGTACTAGCCAACCAAGTAAATTCAATCGTAGTTCACACATTTTCTTTTTTTTTTTAAACTAATCCTTGCCACACTGCAAGCAACCTTCACAAATCCTTTATCAAAGTTATGTGTCGAGAAAAGATTGGGAGCTACTTAAGGTTCCATACTGGAAGTGCTGGAATAATTTCCAACTGAGGCTGATTCTCCTGAGATGTACAGAATTTGAATAAACAGTTAACTTCTGTACTCTTTTATCCAGAATCTGGACTGCATTTGTCCTTTTAGTCAGAACATTACATCCGACGAAGACTGAATTTTCTTCCCACAAACCACAAGTCAGGTCAGACACACAAATTATTCTGGTCATTTCCATCAGGATGTTTAGCATAGGAAAATTCTGATTAAAGTGCCTGGGGGAAAACTTCAAACCATTATATCACTCCATTTCTGACCAACACACAAATATACATTGTCATGGCTTGTTTTTATCATCAAAATTGAAATGTGAAAGCTACATGATGTGTATTTTACACATGATGTGCAGTTTCAGACAAACAAACAATTGCTCATTCTGGAGGAGAGGAGAAGACATTTCACTTGAATGTGGCTTCTAAGAGATGCTAACAGCAGTTCAGTGTGCCATCATATATTCAACTATTCCAATAATAGATTCAACCAAAGTGGTTTAGCAGCTTGATAGCCCAATAGCTTCTGACTGAAAAGCTTTGCAGGGATCTTCTTTGAACTAGGAATCTGGAAAAGCATGTCTTCTAGGGTGCACATGGTTATCTGTCCTGAAGCTTGTAGTTTCATATGAATATCTCTTAATTTGGCAGAAAGGTAGGCATTTTCTTCCATCTTTTCCCTGACTGCAGCCAGCTAAGGAGGAGAAAATGATAGACTTACAGTTCAGCAAGTGAAGATCTCACTCAACCACCATACTGAAGGCAAGCAATCACCCAAAGAAAACAAAAAAGGCACCCAATGTAAGATATGTGGCTAACACAGTGACTAGTAAGAAGAGGATTTTATGCATCACCAAATACAATACCACACATTATACATCACCAAACAATGGTGGAAATGCACTGGCTGTCTATTAGAGAGAATTTGTTAGATTTAAAGCTTCCTCAAAATATACAGTCCAGTTTTCACTCCTAATACAGACTATCACAATTCTTTTTCTATTCAAACCCAGGAAACATTAATTGCTTCCTGTAATTTACTTTCCAGATCAGCACAATTCTAGTTACTGTTATGTATCACACTAAATGTACAGAAAAAGTAAAAAAAACAGTAAGACTATAGAACACTGAGAAGTTCTGTATGCCATATACAGTCTGAGCTCAAGTGTTAAGTATCTCTTAGAAATTCTTATTTATCAATAACTTTTTGTGGAAGGAATGGATTAGAACTAATGCTTAGCCTTCTTAGGAACTGTTTGAAATTTGCCTAACAAGAGCAAAATACAGCACTGACAAATGCAACATCTATTGCAGTGAATTTACAAAACGAAATGCTGCTTAAAAAAATTTAGTTTCAACACACCAGTTAACATACATGGGCTGGGTTTTGAAAGATGTGTCCTACTTCTTTTTAGTATTTGTTATTTTATGTATCAGTTATTAATTTTGTTTAATAGGCGGCAGTAAAAGGCTAAGTATTTAATTATTAACATAGTCTTAAAAATATCTTATTCCATAGACAAGTTTCAGGAAAAGCTGCAGCAATGCTTCCAAGCCGACAGGGGTACATATGTACTCTGAAGGAGGTCTTCTTGGTGATCAATATCGTAAAAGCTTTTTTTGAATAGTAAAATACAGTAAAATAGCAAAAGTTATTACTTCCGATATCACATTTCCCTGTGTAGCATCACAGGTTTTTGCAAATATTACCAACCTAACAATATTGCTGTCATCAGAACCTTATTCTCATTTTTACATCAAATGAAAACAGCACAGAAGGCAAAGGATTAAATTACTTAATGCCACTAGGGAACGCTTCATCTGCATTCAGATGAAATCTGAGCTCCTAAGAGCAAGATCTACAATAAAGGGAAGTGGGCAGCTAAGTGCTTTATCCAACAGTACAGAAAGCCAGCCAGCAGCCTTGCCATCTGACTGCATCAGATTCCAAACAACTTCAGTAGGGTGAACTCAGGCACCTAAAGTTCTGTAACTGACCCACCATCATCATGGCCTAGTCAAGCACCATGGACCTCCTCTCATTACTGTACACTTACCACCTGCTCAGAAAACTCAATTTTTTTCACAAAGGGAGGAGTATGAACTTTCACTGCTGCCTCTAATGTCCTTATTACTTCTTCTAGCAAACCAGATCTGAGCTGGACAAGAACCTTAAAAATAAAATGAAATCACACAAATAGTACTTATCATCAGAATGCAAATTTAAAGAAACAAACGTGTTTGAGGAAGACATGAAGCAATGCAGGAAAAAATACATTTCTAGACATTGCACTGATAAAAATCCATTAATCATGAAGAAAGCCAAAGGAATGACTGATTTCCACAGAGGTTTAGGGGGTCTTTTTTGCAGCTAGGACCTGGAAAGGGTGAGTCTGGAGACAAAGCTCCTCTGGCAGAGCTGCATTAGCTGTTCTTGTGTAAACTGAGGTGGTTTTTTTCCCACAGCTTAGAGAAGTTACTTACAGGGCACATGCAGGAGACTTTCCCTCAGGTTTTAGACCATGCATTTAAAGTGAAAAAGAGTTCTGTGCATATGAAGTTAAGGTTCAAAGGGCTGTAGGAGGCCTGAAGTGGGCAGAACACAGCTAAGGAAGGCATTTATTTGGAACTGTGTTTTTTTTTAATCTCTTGTAGCAAGAAAGCAAAAAGTCACAATGTCATAATTAGAAATTGTTCACAGCCCATACTCACAGACATTGGACTGGTCTACTTTTCATTCTCATCTACGGTGGGAAGCGATTTAAAAAAATGGTGGCAGGGTGTTAACAATTCAGAAAGCATTGATAATTTTGTCAGTACAACTGACAGAAATTGTTTGTTTGCTCAAAACCAAGCTGAGCAACATTACTGGTACATGACTGTACTACTAAGAAGCTGGACTTCTGTTACTCTGCACAAGGGAGTATTTTGTCCAGGACAGCATAATTCTCAGCAAGATCCTAATACAAATCAAAGATACTTACTTTAAGATTATTGTATAGTCTGCTCTCTCTTTTCAATATCCGGGAACAATAAAATTTGGCTTGTGAAACATCATTCTAGGAAGTAATTATAAAAAATAAAAAAAATATGGTTAAACATGTGGGACACACTTTGACAAGAAAAGTTTAAGAAGAACAACAGTCTTTCACAACTTTTCAGTGAATCACAAACCAGCATCTAGAATCCCTTCACCAATCCATGGGTCACCAAGATCCACAGATTCCAAACAGCATCCAGCCTGTGAAAGGAACACTCCACGCTGGAGTTCCCATGTCATCTGGCTCTTTAGCACAGTACTGACAGTACTCCCTGTGCCAGACCAGCCAGGGAAAGAAGCATGTAACCAACAGTGAACATGAGAGCACCTAAAAGATAAAAGATCTACACACGTGCCCAATTTGGCACAAGCCAGAGTACTTAAATGAATTGCAGTATATGCTAATGTCAGTATTTATCCTGCCCAGCACTTTTAACCTTTTGGACATACACATTTCCAGTACTGTGTCTGTGCCATCAACTGATTTGTATAGACAGTAAAAGTTACACTGACATTTACTAAACTATACATTGTTACTTGGGATCAAGAAATATCTTACAGCAAGACGTAATATCAAAGATCATGCAGCTTAAGGAACATGGAGCATTATTCTGTTTGCAAAACAAGAACTGATTTTTATATAAGGCAACATCATGAAGGATATTTCATGTTGTGGCAGAGACAGATATTTTGTTTTTAAACCTCAATGCCAGTGACATGCCCTGTCATTTCACCATGCACATCAAAAAAATCATTAGATGATGCTATTGTTCAGTATCTCTGGTCACAGAGGCAGTGCAAAAAAGACCACAGAGTGCATAAGAAAATTATAACAATTTTACTTCATCCAGTCAAATCCATTAACAACAACAAATCACTAGCTCTTACAGCGCCTCTGTTCAGACGTGAAACAGAGAAAGTTCAGAATTTTCTTCAAGCGGTATACACAAATTAACTGTAGGTGAAATACTAGACTTTACAATTTCCTAATTGTTATTTTCTGGCTCGGTCTTCAACCCTGTACTGCCTCAGAGCCTCTCAGGCACGTGAGGTATATCAAAACCTCCCCCTGAAGAAATGTGGAGAAAGGCAAGCCATCTCCCAGGCAGTAGGACAATACATGTCATAGCCTTTGAGTTTGCCTCCCAAGATACATATTTTTAAAAGACGATTGTACACATACTTTAAATTATCATTTTAATTACATTTAGAGGAAACCATCACTAAATAGCAGTATCTGAAGGACTGGATCCCTGGTGACATCTGACCTGCTGGCTGAACTCTCCTTACTGGCATTGTCACTAGCACCAAATATCTGTGCATTCCACTCAGGATGTCAGTTTAGATTAGAGAATTTCTACATTCACTTTATGTGGGAATTCTCTATAATCTTAAAGGGGCCTAAAAATTCTAGAAGTTATTACATATCTCAGTTTTGCTTCCTCCATGTTAGCTTCCTTTCACTGACTGTCTTAAGAAATAAAACTAGAGGGATTCAGGCACAAATCAGAACAAAAGGTACTGTACCTGCTTCAGAGCAGTTGCCACAGCAAAGCAGTATGCTCGCAGTGGTAATGCGTCACCTTTTAGCTGTGCTTCTTCAAGCAGTTTCTCACAGATTTTGCAAGATTCCAGGTTGTCCTGCATTGAAATTTCAAACCTAAGTGGCATTTGCTATTCTTGTGATATGAAAGGACTGTAGACAATTGCAATCACATTTGAGAAGGCAATCAGAAGTCAGTATACTGTAAGATACCATTATTTTCAGTATTCAAGTAGCGTATCTTGAAGATATTTCCCTTCAAGATTTTTTATGAAGTTTTTTATGTTGCAACATGACCAAAAAAAACCTTTGAGCTTCATGGTTTCCCACCTACTGGATCAATAGATTAAGTTTTTCAAAAAGCCTCACCTAATCCTCTTTAGTGCATAAAGGGTTACTACAGCTTATTCCCTTATTTATAGTATTTTATCTTCATTAAAAAAACAAAAAAAAAAAAACCAACCAAAAAACACCAAACCCCAAAAACCCAAACCCATCAAAAAATCAAAAACAAAACAAAAACCAACCCCAGCCCTCAAACACCACATATTTATTGTGGCTTTTAAAACAACTGGGTGACAGTTGAGAATTATTTCCCCTCTATTTTTATCAATTCACTAAACAGCTAATGATGGGTCAGATTCTCTACTGGAAACACAGGTAGGGCCAGAAGTAGTAGAAAACAAAGTCTTGGGAACCTCTTCCTGTTGCACATGCCATAGATCCAAGAGTTCGGACAGCAGGCTGTGAAAAGAACTATGTAAAGATTTTAAGGAAGAAACTACCAAAGACTGAGTAAAGGATACCTCAGAGAAACACAGTAAGTTTCTCTGAAAGCCTTTACCTATACGGGCAGTGTTTTATCAAGGAGCAACCCTGAAGTGTAAATATTGCCTCAGTAGATGTTAGTAGTAAACACCAGCTTATAAACTTGGGTTGTAGCATAGTGTCAAGAGTCTTTGTATATTCATAACTTTGTAAAAAAGGCACCTTCTACATAGAACTGGTAACAACCCTAAACTGACTGTAATAATCAGTCTCTAGGTTTTTTTTAACAGCAGACATCTTTTGCAGCTCTTTGTCAGCTCAGTCTACTGCCTCACTCTCCGAACACCGAAGCCACATGGCTATTCCTGACCTAAAGGCAGCCCTGATTCATTAGGACTGAGAACTTCAAAAGCACCATATATATTACTACTGAGCTACCATTTGAAGCCAACTCCTTTTTATCACACATGCACCCAGTTTCGTTGTATGGTTAGTTGAGAAACCTGAGAAAGTTTAGTTGAGTGATATAATTTTTCCTCAGCTAGTGTCTTTCATACTGAAAACATGGGGAAATTAAAGAATACTTACCTACTGAGTTTGGGAAAGGCCTAACTTAGCATTTAAAATTGCAGAACTGATTCAAATCTGGAAGTATCAACATTTAAAAAACTCTGGGGATCTCACTTTGCTACAAAAGGGAAACAGTTACAAGGAAACACTTGTAGAACCTAGGTAGCCTAGTTTCTTACTGTGTTCGTGCTCTTTTTCTCTGAGCTAAAAATACAGTTAAGGTCAAGAGGCTGCCTATCTCTCACTGAAGGCATTCATTTGGGTTTCTTTACTCAGCTGCCCACTTCCATCAGGCATGCAGGAACAGATTACCTTTGAGAACTACAGTCCTTGTCAAGTTTGGGTGCAATTACAGAAATGGTTCAAGTTTACTTGGAGGGGAAGGGGAAAATGTATGGGAGATGTCTGACAGAATATGTCATATATACACCTTGTTTCTTAAGGAAGCCAGACTGTAAAACCAACATTGAGGCTCAAGCACAAAGCACAGTCTGAAGAGGTACACAGGATCCAAGAGAAAGAGTACTATCACAGTGTATCAAATTTGCTCTTCAGCATATGTTCACATATGTTTTTAGAGATTTGCTTTGTAACATTAGTTTGCATGGGAAACTCATGTGTACTCAAATAAGCAATTTAGGACTTAAATATGCCTAAAATATTTGTGCTAGATAAGAAATAATGACTGGGAAATTTTAAATTTCATAGAAAAGGAAGACATAGAGAAGGCATTTCAAATCCTTTTTTCATATGTAAATTGAAAATACTCACCAGTTTGTAGCATATTGCAAATGCAATTAGATAGGTTTCTTTGCTGAAAGGTATACTTTGTTTTTTCATTTCAACCAGAACTTCCAAAGCACCTATCAAAAATACATTAGTGTTATTCACTTCACAAATTTAAGGCTGTATATTTTGTAACAGGGAAAAAAAATAAATTAAATCAGCACGGAATAATCTTAGTAGGTATATTTCAAAATAGGAATGTAATTGAAATCTGTTCTTTAAAAAAAACCAAACAAACACAAAACCAAACATTTAAAAAAGTTTAATTTAGAGTCAGTTGGATGCAAATGTTTCTTGCCAGCAAGAAGATTTTCAATCTACATTAGCATCTGGCCTTACTTTCTATTATTTTCATACAAATCTAAAAATAAATTCTAGACACTTGACAAAGCTGCTTTTATTCTTCCCAGCTGCCCAGAAAGTCAGCCTTTTAAACACATAAACAAAGCTTCCATCATTTTTTGGAAACTAACAGTTCCTCAGTAACACACATTACACCACCACACTGCATTGAGGCTCTGATCCAGTTGTTTTTACAGTCTTGACTTCTGGACTCAGATTTGCCAAACATCAAGAGAGTTAGCGCTGTGTGTTCAACACATTTCAAATAAAGGGATTTGCTTGAAAAGCTTACTCCACACTCAATTTAAGATTTTGTCATGGAATGTCTTTTCAGTCAGGTCAGATGATTCACCATTATCCTCAAAAAGGACCAAAATGATTTGAAACCCTTGACTTAAAGTACTGGAGTAGCTACTCTGGATGGGTACACTAGTAGGACAAAGAAAAGACTGCAGCCTGGTTTTGTTATCCAAGGGAAAAAGGGTACTCTTCCCTGCTCTGACACAAATGCAAAACTTCCAAAAAAGGTTGTGGAAGAGCTTACTGTTCAAAAAACTGCATAAACCAAACTTCGAATAGAGAAAACAAAAAGCTCTGGAAATTACAAACCAAAGAGAAATTAAGCCTTCAGAAAAAAGGGGTTAGGAAACAATCCCCCCTGGACAACTACAGTTCTGTGCAACTATGAATGGTAAGAATACCAGTAGAAATGCATGACAAACAGAGTCTTCCATTTTTAGTACACCCTACAGTGCTGCTCATCCACATCCACACTTATATACAGGATGTTTGGCCTTTGAAACCATAAACCAGTGGTTAATGAGTAATATTCATTAAAATGTACATGTATTTATACACACACACTTACAATGAGAAGCATTCTCTCAAAATGCATTTGCCTTAGCAAAAGGAGTACTTACTTTCAAAATGGCCCTTTTTAAATAACATTGTCATCAAAATATGGAATGATGTACTCTCCGAGAAAAAACCATGCAAATTCTGGAGAACAGACACAGCAAGCGTAAAGAAAGTTAGAAGAGTGAGCACTCTTACTGTGCACAGCATCTTGCAGGTCTTCCTACTGGAATAGTCCCATCTTCCTAAATTCTACATTTAACATTCTGGGTTCCCTGACTGTCCCTCTGTCAAGTCACCTCTAAAATACCAGCAATTAAGTATAGTCAAAAGCTCTCTAAACTTAAGCAGAAATTTCCCAGAGATTCCCCACTACCATTTTTTTTAAATAACAGATTGTGACTTGTAAATTGATACAAGCAGAAGTCACTGACAAATGGCAACTTCAAAATCTCAGCAGAAACACAGCTTGCAGCTCATTAACAGTATCTTTAGTGTAAGGTACCACCACCATGAAACCAAAAGAATTTTTTGCTCATCACAGTATCAAATGATGAACAGATCAGCACAACGGCTTGAGAACAGAATAGCAGAAGAAAGAGCAAGTACGTTTTACATTCTGCTTCAACGACACTGTGTGTTGGAAACAGCCATATAAAATGTCAGAGGTGTCAAGTCTAAATTTCTGCAGCAGTCTGAAGAAGTGGTTCTCTAGCTTACTCTCCATTAGTTACTAAGTACTGCACGACCTGTCTCAATGAAATAGATCTTAAGAAAAAAAAAAAAAAGAAACAAAACCCACACATACTTTTACATCTGCCTAATTTAACAATAGCAGCACAAGTGAGACTTCTCCCACTTCTGGCTAGATAAATCTCATGCCTTAATGGATTAACATTGTAGAGGTGACTTTCCTCTGGCTGCCAGAGATTTTTGAAGACACAACATTATTGCACAGAACCTTTTATATTTATTATACAATGGGTGTGACTCCTGTCTTGTCATGATAGCATACACAGCGTTTTACAGATGTTCAGAAACAAGCCTTTAAGTTTCCTCAACATTTAAAATGGCCAATTTCCTGAGCTGATACTACATCACCACTGCAGGGTTCAGAGGGAGTTTGAAATACAAAATAATGAGATACATACGCTGGTGCAAACAACCCAAGGGATGTCAGAGGACTACTGTGTAAAAGCTCAGAAGTGTTCATTTCCAAGAACAATCTAATGCATCACAGGATGCAGGAAAGCATGTATCAGCTGTATTTGAGAAATTTTTAATCAATACTTATGATGCAATTATGCAGAAGTATAATAACGTTATCAGTCAAACTAGCATTTAGTTTTCTTTTAATTACTGTCTTGCTATTTTTAAGGTAAACCCCATGTAATTTGCATCCTCGCATTAATATCATAGACATCCTTACTAATGCAACACATATACTTCAAGTCTATAAGCTCATGCAGGGCTCATGTAGTACATGAATTACTCACATAAGACTAATTTTCTAAATATATATACGAATTACCTGATCTTTGATAAGTTCTACTGCAGGTCGTTCAAGATCTAGCTCATAACATAGCCTCATAAAGAGTGGCCCAAATTTAAAATTATGTAAGGATGTGATTCCATTCTGCTCATGGTACCTATTGGAAAGATTAAAAAAAGTTAATCGCACAGGGCATGGAATTTGTGAAGGGAAAACAGGTTTAAATAGACAGCAAGATCCATATGTGCAGTGACAAACACACTTCTCTATCTGCACCAGCCAGCAACATTTAGATAACAGAAGATTAATTTTATGGAAAAAATACTGTTTTGGTCAAGTAACCTGCATTGCATTAATAGCAGAATGGGTTTCTGCCATAAAACTTCCAGCTACTTTACCCTCTATCCCTACAGCAATAGCACAGGAAGTGGCAGCATTCCATTTTAGCAGCAGTACCTGTTCAAATAACTTTTTCTCTCCTACATTAAGAGAACCCCAATTAAAATGATAAAAATAAAGTGTTTCATCTTTTTCTTTGTAACTCCTACACTGCAATTGTTGGGAAGGCTTTAATTCACAAAACCTGCCACTACTGCATCCAGACCAGTTCATAACAAGGGATGGCTTGGCTGGAAAACGCCACTGAACACACCATTACACCTGGCAGTGTTCAAGGCCAGGCTGGACAGAGCCTTAGGTAACATGGTTTAGTGTGTGGTGTCCTTGCCCATGGCAGGGGGGGTGGAACTAGATGATCTTAAGGTCCTTTCCAAACCTAGCTATTCTGTGATTCTATGATGCTTCTATGTGGCACTGTTCATTCTGCATACAATAGGAAAGCACTTACTTTGCTCTTATAGCTTGAAGGGTTGGAAGATCCAAAACAAAATAAAATACAGCCTTAGTTTAGGGGATTAACTATGTATATGGCCACTGAATAAGGGTAAGCCTTCAACTAGAGACATAACCTGAGATGATCTAATAAAAGCAAAAAAATAAAGACAGAAAAGAGTGTTACCTGGATTGTTAAAAATACCTGTAAATAACTTCTCTGGCTAGTTCCACATCAGATGAAGTCTGACATAAATGCAGCAAGTTTTTTAATTCAGTTTTGAGAATTATTTCATTTTTCTTTAATTTTTCTTTAATACTTTTAAAATACGGATCTGAAAATAAAACACATTATAGCAATAGTCTATAGACAATTCCTTTACCTGCATTGCATACTTGATACCTGAAACATGAAGATTTAAAGAGGCAGAAAGCTTGGGTTTTTTTTCACCAACAAAAATGCATGAAACTTCATGCCTAGGTGTCCCAAATGAAGTCATGTCAGACTTGGAAAAACAAGAGGATGCTTACTGTGAACTTAACTGCATTGTGTATGTTATGTACTACAAAAAAAATTTAAAGAGGAAGTACCTTTTGTGACTTTTTCTGCCTTATGTTCTTTTTTAAAAAAGCAAGCAAACAAACAAAACCAATCCCATTCAGCCTCCAAATGACCATAGGAATGCCTACTCAACACTGCTTGTGCAGAAAACGTAAATTCCTTCATGGTTGATGCAAACACAAAGAACCTTATACATAATCTATGTATTTCTATATATAACCATAACCTTAAGAGTTGTTGCCCTTTTCCCAACACTCCCAAAGACGTTTCTCTATCCAGCACGTTTTCCTATGACAAAGCAAGCACAAAGATGAGTCCTTCATTTGGTAATCTCAAGCCTCTGATTCAGACACACCCAAGACTAAAATCACATGCACCACCTGGCAGCCCCATTCCTCTAAGGGTGCTACCCCATCTTGACCAGGGAAGTGAATTTTTTGGTAACAGTTGCTGGGTCAGTGCTGTTCCCAAGCTAAAAACCTACACAAGAGGCATAAAGTAAGCACCCCAGAGAACAACTTATTCAGCTACTGGATACATATCTGTTGCTACATGCAAATGCAAGTCCTTAGCTACATGCAAATATGAGTCCTTACTCAAGCTGAAATGCAGAGCTGAATCCTGTGAAGTCAGAAGAATGTATATAGATGTATGCACATAATAGTTGTAATGTATTCAAAGATGCATAGAAATTCAAAAAATACCTGGGATTTCAACTGTCTTTGTATTACAGTAGGTGACCGTTTAACTGCTGTAGTTAATAGAATAACTATTACAGTTAATAGTTGCATTATAATAACTAATAGCTATTATATACTGTGTAATTTCTATATACATATTGTTTCTGCTTCTATAGCAAGTTTAATAATAACCCTAATTACTTCTTTTCAGCTTTCAAGTATTAGACTAAACAGAGTACAGAAGCCATGCACACACACATATAGGTGCTTATACATTGTTTTAATTAGTCCATGGAAGCTTCTATTTGTACAAAACAAAAAGATCTACTGTGACCTCTAAAGTCAAATATTTGGCTTCTATAAACCTGTTTTAGCAAGAGTGATTAACCCATAGCAATAAATTTGTTATATTCAATCATAATATTCAATACATTTGAATTATCACATTCATCCTCCCTGAAGGGCAGGATGAATAATCCCCCCATGTGAATATGTCATCATCACAGCATAATATAGCAATATTATGATTTGCCACTGCCTGATTTAAACTCTACTTTCATTTAATATAGAAAAACTGTCCTGTTGAGTTTACCTCCTACTCTGTCCCAGAAGACTGGTTTACACAAAACAAAATTTGATTATTTGTCTCCTCCTTGACATACATATAAAAACCAAAATTAACTACATCCTTTGGAACAATTGTCAATCTGAATCACTAGAACACCTGCACATGATTAAACAGGTGCAGGAAGTGGAGTTTTGCCAAATCTTTCTTGAATATTAAGGACAGATTTATGTTTATATTTATGTTCCTTAAAGAAAGGAATTTGTTTATTTTTTAAGCAGCTTGAAAAAATTGCTATCAGGTAAGATCCACTGATCTTGCTCCTTCGTAAGTTTGGAAAGCCTAAATTTCTTTTGCATATTCTAAGTATGTATATATCACCTAGAATTGGGTGTACAATTGAGAACTTACATTAGGTAAATAGAAACAAATCTAAAAGAATAAGCTAATTAAATTTACAGAGTAGATTAAAAGAGAATTACTGCCATAGGCATTCTCTGGATAGTTAAGCAGCTATTAGGTTTTGTATTAACTTTCTCTGATACCATATTTGAAGCAAGATTTGTAGACTGAAACAGTATTTTCTATTAAAAGCAAGGGCACAAACACTTCTTACGCGAAAGTCTGCATGCTTGAAAACTTCTCTACATTTTCCAGCACACCATAACTAATACTGTTTCACACTACAAAGCTGCAGATCTTCCAATAATTTTAGCAACAAAAAATTTGCAAGATTAAGTTGCTGTTTTACATGTGGTCAGCTCATATCACATAACTGTGACTGTCTTATTTCCTAGACTTATTCCAAAACTTAGAATGGTGATTACGAAATAAATATTAATACCTTTATTGCCATGAACTTCATTTCTAATTACCACTTTCATCTGCTGAAATTCTTGTAACTTGATATCATCTTCCGTTAGCAGATACCTCTTTCCCACCACTAGAAAAAAAGATGAAGGTAGAGTTTTATGTCACACTGTCTGTTTTAATACTACTGAACTTTGTATTTATTAGTGTCCTTAATTACTGTGTGATGCCAAAACAGGGCCACCATGACACTAAGAAAAAGACTGCAAAAATTGCAATTGCTCATGTGACCGACAAAAGTGTCTGAGCACTATGTTTCAGCTTCACAAAGTTAATGTCTACAAGGATGAAGAAGTATGTATTTACTAGATGTGCAAAAGAAAAAGTAGAGACACTTCTCTCCACGAAGCTAAGATACACGAGAATTCTGCACAAGCATAAGGTATGTCACCCCTTTCATATTTTTACAATGATATGTCTTCTCTTTGTTCACCACAATGCACTAGTGGCACAGGCTCCTCACATCTGCTGTTCCCCCCTGTTGTAGAATGTATTGTTCTAGAAGGTCCAAATGCAGTAGAAAGACAAAAGGAAAAAAACATAAAGCTTACTATTTGGATTGTATTAACACTCAAGAGACTTAGTAAAATTGTAGTGCAGTACAGGTATCAGAGAAGACAGTCACTGAACCTAGAATCTCAAAATTAGCTTTGGGTGCTGACCTCAACTGTGCTGTGTTGTAAGCTCCTTTAACGGAAGTGTCATGCAAATACTATTTGCGATTTTTTTTTTCTGAAACAAAAAAAGCCCTCCAGTAAATTTTTGTTTGCAACCAGTGATTTTGTAACACAGAGTCACTGTAATAGTTTATGTTGTCACAATCTAATCTTTTTAAGTTTTTGGCTTCTTAAAGAATTATTCTAATCATGAAGGGACAAGAGCAAGTATTATCCTGAGCTAGGTTATTTCTCCTCCTTCTGTGTTTCCCTAGCAAAATAAAAACACTTGTTTTCTATGCAAGCTAAGCATGCTAATGATACATTTCATAAAATCTGAAACCGCCCCTCCATTAAGTGGCATCTTTAGCCATTAAATTTAATGGAAACAGTTTCAATGGGTAAGCAAATACACTTTATCCAGCATGAAACTGGCATGGATTATACTGCCATCACTTCCCAAAGACCCACTCAGCTGGTCTAACACCACCCCTGACCTGGGCCTCTCCAAAGCTGATGCGGGAATCATGCCAGTGCCTGGGCTGGTACACAACACACCCCACTGCATGAACATACCACACTGCATGGACACTCAGCAGTCACAGGTGTGATGAGAGAGCTTTGAACAGCAGACTTTTACCCTTCTTGAAATTAATTTGCTCTATTCTACTGCTTTCTTAAATACACACTTTACAGTGTTATAGAAAGAAACTAGTGCAAAGAGGGCTGCTGAGCAAAAAAAGAGGGAGATCAGTATGATGGCTGGCGCACACAAGGCAGCGCAGGCCATCCCAGAGAAATTAACTGACCAACCTGCTTTATTTCTGACACACTGTGACTCTCTAAAAGGAACGCCAGTGAAAAGTGGTGGGCAGACCACCACGCAGCGGGCATCTTCACGTTTCTGAGGCGTCTAACAGACCTGTAAACTAAGCAAACCCTCCACAGACAGCTGTTGGTACAGCAATCCAGAGACCCAGACGCGGCCTATGCTGGAGCCTTCTGACAGGTCCTTTCCCCATGCCGAGGGAACACCTTGGAAGGCCTCTGAAGCCTAGTCACGGCGGTGACAGCCAGCAGGCGCGCCTGGGTAATGTTGCTCTCCCAGAACAAAACCGCATTCATGAACCTAGATGCTTATTGGGTTTTGGTGACTCCTGCGTAGCCAACGGCAAAGACAGGATAAACCGAGTAACGCTGCCCCGCGGACAACGCTGCCGCACCAGCCCGGTACACCACAGCAGCCACGCGCCCGCTCTAAGGCCCATCGGGAGCCCCTCAGAGCTCCCTTTCGCTCCGTACCCAGCGCTGCGGGGCATCCCCGCCGGAACTACAACTCCCGTCAGGCACAAGGTTACGACAAACGCCGACCCTGCTGGGAGTTGTAGTACCCGGGCCAGAGCCACAGCCCGCTGGCAGCTCAGTGCCCCGGCTGCGCACCCCGCCGTCCGTCGCCGCTGCGCAGCCCGCGGTACCTCCAGGCGCCGAGCCCCAGCAGCCGGAGGCGGGCGGGTGAACGGCGGAGCGCCGCACCGCCTCCCGCACCACCCGCCGCGACCCGCCTGCGAGCACCACCGCCATCTTGCACCCGATCTGCCGGAGGCGGGGCCCTCGCGGACCTGCCCCACGCCGCAGCTCGCTTCCTCCTTCGGCAGCATGGCCGCCGCCGTGCTAT